CCTCTTACGGCAGCAAACCCCCACACGGCCATCCGCCCCCAAAACAGGGCGGCCAAAAAAAAAAAAAAAAAAAAAAAAAAAAAAACTGTCCGTTAAATCTTTCCGAAAAAACCGCTCAAACTTCTAAGTCCCAGAGGCGGTTACCCTGTAAAAAAAAAAACTTTTTTTTTATTTTTTTTAAATTTTTTAATTTTTTATTTTTATTTTTTTTATTTTTTTTTTATTATATTTTTTTTTTTTTATTTTTTTTTTTTTTTATTAATTTTTTTTTTTTTTTTATTATTTTTCATTATTATTTTTATTTATTTTATATTATTTTTTATTATTTTTTTAAAATTTTTTTTTTTTTTTAAATATCGGTCATTTTTCAAATTAACCACTTGTAAGGTTATTGTCATTTTGGTTGATTATGTAAGCATATGGCTGTAAAACTAAAAGTTATAAAGTTAAATGTTATAAAGTTAACAGTTAAAAGCGTTAAACAAATGTATTTAATTAAAACACATTACCGGTGTAAAAGTTAAAAGCAATACATTTAATCAATCAATTTTAAAATGTAAAAGTTAAAAAAGATGCATTTAATAAAAACACTCGGATGGTGCGGGGGCAATGCAAGGTACGGTTAATTAAATTTATAAATATTAAGTTTTATTAATTTATCAAGGTTTTATTAATGGTTTTATTAATTTCCGGGTATTTTTTACATAAACACATATAATTTCTTATTAATTACTTTATCATTTACTTATCATTTACTTTATCAATTACTTTATCAATTACTTTATCAATTACCTTATTAATTAAAAAAGTTTAAACGCAATATTTTTTCGAAAAAATTATTTTTTTTATTAAATTTAAAAGTTTAAAAAAACATTATATTATTTTTAAACGGTATTTTTTAATTTAATAATTATTATTTATTATATTTTATTATTATAAAAAAAATATATAATTATTTTTTAAATTTTTTAAAAAAATATTAAATTAAATTATTTAATTTATTATTTAAATTAAATAATTTATTTAATTAAAACTATTATATTAATTTAATATATTTATAAAGTTTAATATTATTAATTAAATTAATTTTAATTATTTTTATAATTTTTATTTATTAAACATATAAAAAATTAAAAAAATTTATAAATTTTAATTATTTATTTATATAATTAAATTAATTAATTAAATAAATTAATAATAATAATATTAATAATATTAATTTTAAATATATTTTATATAATTATTTTATAATTTTATAATTTATATAAAATAAAAATATAATTATTATTAAAATATATTAAATTTATATTATTAGTTTAAATTAAAAATAATTTTAAAATATTGTTACGGCCGTGACATGCGTTACGATGTTATTTAACGGTTTATTAAATAACATTATAACTTAATATTTAAGTTAAAACTTTTATTTTTTTATATATATAAATAAAGTTTTATTATAATAATTTAATGTTTTAAGTTTTTTAAAACATCATTTTTTAATAATAATATCTTTTAATTTTAACTTTATAATAAATATTAAATTAAATTAAAAAATATTTTTAATATTTATTTTAAAAATACTTTTTAAAAAGGTTTTAATTAAAAATTGGTTTAATTATACGTTTATAAAATAATAAAAAAATAATTTTTAAAAGTATAAAATTTAATATAAACAAATATTTTAATTGAGTTTTTTTTTTAATAAATAATAATAATAAAAAAAAAGTAATTAAAATAAAAAAAAATTATTAATAAAAAAAAATAATAAAAAGTTTTTTTTAAATTTTATTAAACTTTAATTTAAAATTTTAATATAAAATAAAATAAATAATAATTTAAAATATACATGTTATTTTAAAATGTTAAATTTTTTTAAAATAATAAAAAAATTTTTATAATAAAAACTATAAAAAGTTTAAAATATAATTAAAATAATTAATAATTTTTTAAAATTTTAAAAATTTTAAATTTTTTTTTTTTTTAAAAAATTTTTTAATTTATTTATAAATAATTTAAAATACGTATTTTTCAATTTAATTAAATCTTTATTAATATATTAACTTTATTTATATATAATTATATAATTATATAATATTTTTTATTTAATGTTAATAAATACGTACGTATAATAAAATAATAAATAAAATAATTAAAATAACAATAATGTTAAAACTGGTGTATTAATGATGTTTAAAAAAAAAAACTATTTATAAAACCATGCCGAAAACATGGTTTATTTATATACGTGTGTTTTTTTTTTATTATAAAAAAAAAACTTTTTTTTTAATCATTATATAACCATCATTTAATAAATCTTAAAATAATTATCTTATATTTCTTATTAATTATCTTTTTTAACTAATAATTTTTTAGCATTATTATCCGTGTGATAATTCTTGCCATCAATAACACAAGAATCCCAGAGTAACAAATGGCAATTCAGTGTCTTCGCTCGAAGCTATCGAGATATGAGCTAGAGCACTAATGTGCGAATGCTTCAACTTGTCTCTTATGAGTATCGCCGAAGCATCTGTCGTACTGATGTTCGGCGGCTGTGTTATGTCCCTTCTGAAGAGGCTGGTGAATCATTCATCGCCGAGTTCATCCAGTGAACCGCGCCATTTTCACTCCAACTGCGCTCAGTATGTCTATAACCGAGCAAGCGCCAAGCGTACAGGTGCCTATGTCGATAGGCGAGCCCTTTAACCCCGAGTTGGTGAAATCGGTCAGGTCATGGTCTCTTTGCAATGCCTAGGGCCAAGCGAAACAGCTTGCGTCGGCACCATAGCAGAACTGATACAGACTTCGCGATATGCAGAAAGCATCTGGAAGCTTCTTTCCAGCGCCTTTTCGCTTGGAAATGACGTCGATAAATTAGTGACAATCGTGGGCGTAAGGGAGATCGTGGTAAAATCCAGGTGTGGCATTAGGCAATTAAAACAATTACAACTAAACCGCGGCTTATTTCATATCCCATCCACGATAGTCTCCATTGCGAAAGGGCTATCCATCAATAAGACTACGATGAATGTACGGCGCTGGGAATCTCGCCAAGTATAACCTTGATGGTAGTCTCGAGTACACCGGACGTCGTGACGATCAGGTCAAGGTCAGCGGCTAGGGCGTGGAACTTGCCGAAACCGAGAAAGTTGTAAACTCCTGTCCAGCTGTTCTCCGGGCAATGACATCTATTGAGAGAACTGAGAAGCACCTAGTAGCTGTAGTCTAGAAGAGTCACAGCCGTCCAGATGGATACCCCCGAAGGAGCTCTCAGCATATCTGCAGCCAATTCTCAGAACTATCTTGGTAAGCGGCGAGACGTTAGCAATTCGTCCTGACAAAACCCAAAGCCTCTATGTCATACACGGCTGTTGGGGTCAAGCAGACAGGTATCGAATACTAGGATGTCTTCAAGTCCAGCACTTTTCCGCAACGCAGCCATCACGCTACTTGGGCGTGGTGCGAGTATCTAGGGATTGTACGCTGCCCAGGACGCAAATGATGTCTTGTTCGATAAGGATCTATATAACAGATCGGTAAGGCCTATGAGAATGTGAGAAGCCTACAAAGGCCTACGATTTATCCGATTACTTTAATTGGGCTATGCGGTACAAAATGCGATGTTTGAGTGCTTGTCCACTTATCTTTCTGGTCTTACATTTTCCCGTTCCAATTCTCGATACCGCTGAATGGAAACTTGGAGATTGATCAGGCTTTTACAAAGTATATCTACAATTCTCGCCGTATCGATTCATTCCGTCGACGCTACGATGTGACCGTAGCCAACTTACTGAGCTAACACGTAGTATCGTGCTACGCAACACGGAACTCAGGCGGTGGCATTCGGCTTTCCGGGTTTTGATATCACGCGCCTTGGAATATGCCACTTGTCCCTTGATATCTAGGAAGATGTTAGCGTCGGCCGGTTACCCCCTTTCCGTGACAGATATTGCGAGGATCGTCATTGCGAAGGCGCCTTTTAGATCGAGGCTACACGGCGCTCGTTTGGTGACGTTTATTTCGGTACGATCAAAGAGAGTCCGTGGCTAGACGAGGTGACCTTGATCGATACGTTTCAAAGTCGGTAAACGGATTTTTAACAGCGAGCTTCAGGATGTGAGCGATCGTGTTGCGGATGTTTGTCGCTTTGCGCAACACGATTGTCGACGAAGAACAATACGGTATCTGCCAATTTACAATCCGCAGGTTTCCAGTATAGGCGGGGGATGACCTTCTCTCAGAGTATCTGCCGTGGGAAAGGCTGCCCGGTGCGTTATGGTAGGTCATTGTGCCGATTTGGCGAGGTCGTCAGTAGGATGGCGCGATATTTTCTCGCTTCATCATACATGACTTAGACTATGGCCATTGTCTTCAACTCGTTCGAAAGCAATCGGTCTAAAGATCCACTCCAGCTGACGGAATCCCTCACAGACCTACGTCGCTTGTCCGCTATAGGGGAGAATTTCAAACCACGCTGGAATGGCTCAAGTCTGTATATCTTACCTGTACACACCTGGCAATAAGGGCTATCCAGGTGCCAAAAAATGGCCTATGGATAAAACGTTTAAAAGCGACTTCCGTAGAATGCCTTTAGAATATATGTTAGCGTTATTGTGTTTACGTAAGCCCGGCTCCCGGCCACACCTTGCTAGCGCAACCGGAGACCCGCAACCGGAAACCTTATGTAACCCACCTTAAAATCTTACACTACGACGGCGCAGCCAACACGGTTTACGATTGACCTATGGCCTACACGATCATGTAACACATCGCGGCGCTAAAACGTTCCCTAATCCGACCAACAGATAAACAATCTCCACCATTTTTCACTCGTCTGCGCTCGAGGTTAACATTTATCTCCTTTCACTTAATTACCACACCACAGCATGACTTCTTTCTTTGGAGGGTAGCGCCAGGACGGCTAGCAGGCCAGATGCGCCTGGCAGTCGCGCTGTCACAGATCGCTGTCACAGGTGATGCTAACCAGCTACTCTTTACCCAAACAACAAGGCAGAATCGACTGCAGCATGTGCAGTCTAGGGTTTCAAGAGTTGGACTTTACCTTGACCCGAGCCTTGTTAGGTAACGTTGAAACCTTTCGGCTGCGACGTCAACTCGGCCCGACATTACTCAAATATGCCCGGCCGTTTCCATATACTCCAACATGCCCATCTCTTCCGTTCGCTCGTACCTTTGCTGCTCTTTACACTCTTATCTACTCGGTCACCAACTGTTTATATGCGGACTTAACCTGAAAATAATTCCCGACGCTATTCAATCTCGAAATTACTCCTAGTTCATGTAAATCGGTGTCTCTTACTAGACGGGACAAGTTGTAATATATCCTTCCCTGCAGTCCAGAAATATTGGATTGCGACTAACCTTTCGCTGGATACTAGTACAAATTCAGGGAGACTGGTTTCTTTTCACCTGTCATGGCAGAGGATAAAGAAGATGAGCTGAGGCTGCTCCGGCGACTTGCTAAAAGTTATGGTATCTCTTTCAAGAGGCCATCCGACGAGTGGCCAGAGTGTCACCGTAGACGATTTGGCGATATCCGTGATCTGGGCGATACGAAGTTTCATGCCTACTCGGAAAACGTCACCGTCCGGTCGATCCAGGAGCCCTGGACGCGGCAGATTAAATCTCGGACGCAGTGGCTTGTGAATAGGGCGTGCGACCTGGCTATGAACGTTCAGCCGAAAGAGAGTGGATGGCGTTTGGGACTCGAGAATGATGTTATGCACAGGTTCTTGGTCGAGGTTGCATGGTATGGTAGTCTCGTGTCTATTGCTGCTCAGATTTCTTCTATGATGAGACTTCGTCTAACATAAAACAAGTCCCCAGTGCCGAGCCCGCATCTGGCGATCGGAAATCGAAGCATCCGACTACAAAGCCGACAGTAGATGGGTTCAGGAGCTCGAAGAACGTAGAAAAGTTCGCAAGCCGTGCCAATGCCCCCTTGAGGCCGGTCCTCGAGACTAGTATGAAAACGCGCTGCTTCTTTCTGGGCTTTGAGCTTACGGTGCCTTTAGTTACGAGATAGGTACGAGTCTGCTTTTCGATGATCGAATCGAGGAGATCGTGACGCTTGATAGCGCATTGAAAGACCTGCCTAAGAAGAAAATACCCGATCGCACATTTGGGTTGAAAATGACGGAGAAGGTGAACGACCTCCTTGCAAAACTAGCGGTTCGAATGGCCACGGCCACCGAAGCTTTCGAATTCACACCGTTCAAGTTAGCGACGAACCCGCCAATTTTCCCTTTCCTCGTCCTCGAAGCCAAGTCGGAATCTAGCAAAAATGGATTCTATGATATTCAGACTCAAACAGCCTTCCCTATCTGGAGGTTTCTGAGCCTACAGAAGCAGCTGCAGACGAAGACCGAATGCATTGCCGAGGAGCCCTTGGTCTGGTTTCTCGGCAATAGGGGAAGTGAATGGAAGGTGTACGGCTGCTATATAGATGAGACGGATGACAAACCTCGATATGTGAGTAAGCGACATTGATATTTTGTTTACGAAGCCAAGTACTTACGTCGAATTAGAACATTCACCCTTTGTGGGGTGGCGACTTGATGACCCAAGACGGGGCTCTGCAGCTCATACTCATTGTTGATTACATCTTGGATTGGGCAAGAGATATATACCGGCCTTCTATCCTGCGGCAGCTCAAATCTTTAGCATTTGGGAAAGGTTATGATGAAGTCAGTATAGGCTTCGAAAGCGACATATATTCTGTACGCGATAGGGTATTTGACTGGATCGGACCTGCAGCTGACAACCCCGGACGTGAAGAGGATCTGGAGACGGTCGCTGAGGAACTAGAACCGATAGACGGTGTTAGCCCTGTCCCTTTGGCGGATAAGGTCGATTTGCTAGAGGGTTTGCCTAACACTAAAATTGGCTCATTCCGATCCGCTTCGCATGTGAAGTACTACTTCAACAGCCTGAACCTCACTGAAGAGAACGTAGAGAGTTTACTGATTATCAGCCAAGGGCCCGATGATGAGCTCTCCATGAGTTCCACGCATGCGAAAAAGCTGGAAGGTAAATTACATTCCTGTAGCGAGCTAATCGTCACTACTCAACATACCCTGGACGAAATTGAATTCATGTGGACTGGCGAAAAGCGGAAGACCGATTCTCCTTTCTCTACCGCATCTGACGTCGAAGTATATGTCATCATCGAATATTCTTGCTTCATGAGCCCCTCTTGGGATATCGTCAAGGAGCTTACCTGTTTTGCCGTTTCGAAGCCGGCTTTCCACGTTCTGCAGGAATGTGGTCATCCTAAGGATAGTCGCAGCACTAGGCAGTTGCAGAACATACCGAATGTATGTCCTAGCACGTCACTGTATGAAGCGATAGAGTGCCTTTTGTCGGATTCTGCCTTGCAAAACCTCCAAGCGTCGATTTCAAGCACTCTTATGTCGATACGCCCGAGTACCGCACAAAAGGACAAAGAGCTGCAGTCGTTTTTCTTTACTTTTAGCCTGCAAGACCATTCTCAAATCGGTCAGATAGTCGAAGAATACTCCAAATGCGTTCGCAACAAGCCTTCGAAGCCATCGAAGCTCATATCTCTCGCCCAGTATTTAAGGTCGGGCGGAAAAGGGCGTAAAAGATACGAAGCATTCATCCATCAGAAACAAACGGAGACGGAAGCGTGGTTTTCCAAGTACCGCCGCAGGACGGCCAACCGCTCGTTTACAAGAAGGTCAACTAAATCTGCCTCTTTGGCCCAATTAGAAGGCCATGGCTATTCTTGTGTTAGATGCTCCAAGAGCCGTGCTAGTATCCTTCAACCTCTCGAATATGGCAGCAATGCATTAGCGGGTGACTGGGAACCCCGCTCCGTAAATAACACAATCCTCGTCCAGGCAGTCATTGTAGATACGACAAGCGAGATTCGGCAAGACCGGAATCACTTATGTCTCTTTATTCTTAGTCCGGGGCCGGATCTTGGCCATGGAGGCTCTATCAGGGAGGTAATCGAGGAGCACCTCAACAGGGGCCAAGCATACCATACTCTGCTCCACGGAGCTGCGCCGGGAGATGAAGGACTCGACCGGTTCGTCCTCTGGAATCTTCCTTGTACCTACCGCCCTTTTACCGTAAGGGAGGAAAAAGATCTCAAAGCGTGGAATGAGGAGATAAAAGAAGGGCGCGAGCCTGACCTCATGCCTAACAAGCGTTGGATGCGCCTATGGGATCACTCCCAGATGCTTTTATATTACCTACGACGTGATTATACGTATAATGAGGCTGCCGAAGCTGTGAAATCATTTCGTGACAGTCGAAGAGAATATATCCGCCTAAAAGGCAAATGGGGCGACGATGGCGATGACCGCGACAGCGTTGCGGGGCGAGTCGATATTGATTCGTTTTGGCCATACGTTGGGCACCATCGATAAGTAACAATAGACATGAGAAATCCCCGACCGGCTTACTATACGATATCACTTACGGGTTTGGTTTGCTGCATGCTATGCTGGCCACGAAGTCGAAAACCTGGAATGATTTTGAGATTATGAACGCAACGTAAAAGGGAAAAGATGATTTCAGTATGTACCTTAGCCACGAGCTTCCATAGTTAGGGCAGAGCTTCTTAGGAAACCCCTTTTTATTTCCATATATCGGAATTTAGCCTTGTGATAAACCACTCCTTTCCGTGCGCTACTGAACTCATAAAACTTCAATATCTAAGAGGCGTGGTGCGTAGACATCGACTTGGCGGCATTCCCAAGTAATTTCAGGATGCGATATTCAAATCAAAATATTTTCTCACCTTGTATCAGTTGTCACCGGCGTCCATATCTCAGGCCAGGATTCTCGGCGGAATGACAAAGTTGTTTCTATACCTTCTAGGTCTACCCCATCATATTATCGTAATATGGGAACTGCGGTCTTATTACCTCCAACTACTTAACAAGGACGAATTGTAAGGTTACGGTCTCGTTGAAGATAAGCAAAGGCAAGATGTCATATGCAAGTACTTGATAATTAATGTAGGATTACCACCTTGTGGGAACACGTTATTGGCTTAATTGATGTATGACGACGCCCAAGAGTGTGCTTTCGTGTATGTAATTATCATTCATATCGCGCTTTGCTCGTGTCGATCGAGGGATGATCGGTAAGTATTTTCGATCTTAATGCAGAATACTACCCCCCCTCAAGGTCATACGTCAGTGTGAAGTGGGCAAGTTACGTTAAGGGATACGTTAATAGGTAAGCAAAGTCGGAAGTAATATTTTAAAAATAAATTACATCCCTATATTTTTATATTTTTATATTGATCTATAACTAAGGGTTTATGTTAATATTACAACTTAACCTCCTGCCTTTTTCTTTATTTACTTCATCTACCACATTTCGTCTAGTATTAAACCCGCCGCACTACGCCTGACAATGTCCGACGAACAACATTCAAAAGGGAATTCCCGCCTAGATATACAACCATTGGATCTCAGCATAGCATTGAAGCCGTGCGACATCGCCAGCGTCGGCACGCACGTGGAGAAAATCAACAAACTAGCAACCTCCACTTCTCTTGGTGATAATAATGTAAGACTCGAACTAGCAGAAGCTGCTAGACGCTTAGTAAGAGCTCTAGAAACTCCGCGTGAGACGATGATAAAGCATTGCTGGGCACAGGTATACAACCCCTCACGCTTAGGAAGAGGATGATATTGATTATATTGCTTAGCCTTCTGCTATGACTGCCATTATGTCAGGATTCTAGATGAGACATCTAGAACAAAGGAACTATTCAGTATGTATAGACGATAGATCTTCATAGGTAGTTTAGAGTTCCTTGCGGAACAACGAAGTTGTTTCCATACTGTTTCGTTCCACCTCATGACACATTACGACTGGTGTTGATTTGGGATTGTTCGAGGCCATGGTTAAAGATGGTGGCAGTAGTAGAACGGCTGCCGAGCTTGCCCGCGCTGTCGGTGCCGATCCTACTCTCGTAGGTAGGTGTACCTGATAGCATATTATACATGTTCTGAGCTGACCTACTTAGCCCGGTTCCTCCGTCACCTTAGTGCCATGGGATATGTGGAAGAGACTGGTGCCGACGAGTACGCGCCAACGAACTTTACAATATCCCTCTGCATACCTATAATCAGTGCTGGCTACCCTCTATTGTAAGAATTCTCTTTCGAATCTAGGATCGGGCAACTTATTAATATGAACTAAAGGTCGGGTGGTATCCTCGCTTCGAATATCAAATTCCACGAGTATATAAAAAAGGCTGGGTATGAGGTTCCTAACAACATGCTGTCCGGGCCTTTCCAATATGCCTATGACACAGATAAGAACTTGTTTGAGCATCTTCAAGCCAATCCTCCCTACGGCGATCTGTTCAACCTTCATATGGCCGCATATCGTCAGGGGCGAGCAAGTTGGATGGACCCCCAATTCTTCCCAGTTCAGGAGAAGCTCGTCGATGGGGCAGACCCGCGTAAGGAAGCCGTGTTCTTGGTCGATATTGGGGGTTCGATTGGGCATGATATGGAGGAGTTTCTAACTAAGCATCCGTCTGTACCCGGCCGTCTTGTATTACAAGATTTGCCAGCTGTACTTCAACAAATCAATACTCTGGATGAGCGAATAGAGCAGATGGAGCACAATTTCTTTGACGAACAACCTATTAGAGGTAGGTAACCAACCCGGCAATCATGTGTCGTGTTTAACTATCACTAACTTCCCGGGGTTTTCTATTTAGGCAGTAGGGCCTATTACATGCACTCCATCTTACACGACTGGCCTGATGAGCAATGCGTAGAAATTCTAACTCAACTTTCTAAGTCTATGGAACCAGGATACAGCAAGTTCCTCATCAATGAAAACGTAATCCCGCCACGCCATGCGTACTGGGAAGCTACAGCTCTGGATATTATTATGATGACTGGCTTCTCATCTAGAGAGAGAACAAAGCATGAGTGGGAAGATCTACTCGGGGCGTCTGGACTACGTATCTGCAACATTGTAAGATATCATACACTTATTCCATCCAAGTATAATCCTAACCCTGAATATCATAGTAGACTGTCGATAACAGAGTCGAAAGTCTCATCGAGTGCGAGCTAGATACGAAAGAGCTTTCTTAATACTTGTCTACTACTAGTTACGATATATATTTGCGATATATCTATGATTAACCGAGGCCTTTAGAATATTTATCCCGTATTCACTTGTTATTCAACGCGTACTAATTAAAATGTGTACCCAGGTAAGCTATGTAGGTACGACCTGGCGAATTGGGAATAATACCGACCGAAGCAGTTCACTCGGAGAGCCGATGTAGCAGTTGCTTACGCCATCCTATCGGACGCATTAAACCTAAGGCTTTATATGGTCTCGTGCATTATTAGTGGTTTATTAACAAGGTGTGCCACTCTAAGATCGTTACCTCGGCTGTCATGCTTATATGCGGGTTACTTAATTCCCTTCTAGTACGATACTGCGATTGGTTCATTGTTGTAATTCCTCCTGCCTTTTTCTCTCTAATTAACATCATGTATACGATCTGACGTCGGTACCGGAAACCTAACCGGACTGGTTACTGTGAGGGATCAGTTCTAGGCCTGTCCATTATTTCGAGTCGTACCGTGTTTTTTTTTTCATAGCAGCTGACAAAGCTTGGAGAGTTTCCTTGGTCATTACTGCAGCTGCTGAGTGATGAACCATGATGCACGACGATCACCCGCTCACATTGCTACCATTTCCTGCAGGTGATGAGGATGGGTATAGAAAGGAAGCGCTGATGCCTTTATAAATACGGTCCCAACACCTAACTCACCATCTACTCTTCGCGAGGCTATAATAGAGTCGCTCTTCAGCTCATTACCAACTAGCCGACGAGGTTGGTATCACTTTCGCCATGCTAAGTCGATTCATATGTTTTGTTACCATTTGCGGGACGCTTGTTCGGGCGTCTACGGAAACTAGCTATTCCTTCAAGACTGAAGGACAATGCTCGACGACATGGGGTAGTGGCGGGACAGTACCGATGTCTCTTCCAACTTCGACAACTACCAGTACTGTCTCTTCGCTGATCACAAATGAAGTGGTAACGGTTCCTTCATCTTCCACGGTTACCGCCGACGCTGTTACGACAACGGTACTTACGCAAACCTCTTGGACCTGGTCTGAGTCAACAATTACTGTACCCACGACAACCCTTTGGCGTGGGGCTCAATCGACAGTCGCTACTGCCTCATGGCCCACTACAATCTGTACTAACGATGTGACTCCGTCCACCGTGACAGAGTACAGCGGTAGTTATATTCCTGTCTCGGGTCAAGTAACTACTGAGCCGGTTTCGTATCCTTCGCAGGTCGTATGCAGGACCGGGGTGACGTGGTTCACGTATCTGGTCCCAATAGCGACGTCCGGAGTGACAACGGTGACAGTGACGCCTACGAGTACAGTATTCGCTCCCACCACGACTATCACGGCCACTGCCTCGTATTACACCTTTACGACATTTGAAAGTACGGTCACAAGCGTCACAACAACGTACCGAGTTGCGACGAGCGTCGTAACCACCAGCATAGCGTGTGAGGCTTCAACTACTACGACGTTTGCTGCTAAATGTGCGCCGACGAATGTCATCAAGGGTATTGGAGAGTTCGGCATAGTGTCGGGAAAATATGCGAAAAATATTACGGTTACTTATATTCCCGATGAGAGGTACAATGATCCCGGTGTTTGTTGTCAGCTCTGCCAGGATAATGATGGATGTGTCGGCATGATGGCAGGAATCTCGGGATTCTGCGGGCTATACTACGTCGGCGCCCCGGACGGTGGTCCGGCGTGTGATTTTGGCTTCACATACCAAACTGAATCTGATAGGTTCCCGGGACAAGGTCTTTGGGTACAATCCGGGTGTGGAGAAATTGAATATAGCGGGAGCGACGGGGTATAGAGCTGGATGCTACGGACTTACCAGCATACCGACATCTGACGAATAAGAGGAACTGAACATCTTTCTACAGAATATGGCGGAAAATCACCAGCCCTATCGTAGATCTTTATCGAATGATACCAGTATTATTTATACCGTTGTAAGTGAAGCTCATCTATGCCCCCGTAGTTATTGCATGGAGGTTTATTCGGTGGTGGCGGGGTTAGGAGTTAAGAGCCCGAGTTTCCAAAATAAAAAAGTGTTAGCGGTAACCTTCCTTTAAAAGTAGTCCCTTGATCGTTGGTTTCGGCATATTAAAATTAGAATTATTTAATGTACCGATAGCTTTAAATATTAATAAAAAAAAAATAAAAAATCCATTTCGGTTTTATGTACTTAAAAACTTAAAAGCGAAAATAAACGTATTAATTAAATAAAAAAATATAATTACGTCATTTTTTTATTATTTGTTAAATATAAAAGTAATTTATTTTTACGATAAATTATTTTTATTATTATAATAGGTTTTTAATGGTTTTAAATGTTTAAAGTTATTATAATTACCGAAACCATTTAAAATCGTTATATTATAACTTTTACTGGTAAATAACACTTGTAATTTTTTATAACTTTTTATGGTTATATTTTTTAACTAAAATAATTATATATTTTATACGGTAAACACGAGATATACCGTAATAACAAACAAAAATTTATCGTAATACGTAATTTTATAAATTTATAATTAAATGTTTTTATAATTAAAAAGTAAAATGCGTAACAATACATTTAATTTAATATATTAACATGTTTATAATAAATAAATGTTAATTTAATAACATATTTTTATAATTCCCGTTAAAATATATTAAAAAAAGTATAAAATAAACGATTAAATACCGTTAATTATAATTAACACCATGCGTACGTTTTTACAATTACATCGTAATAATGTTTATTTTATAAATAATTAAAACATGTTAAAATAAAATACATGTAACGGATAAAATTAAAAAATTATAATAAAATATAATATTAATCATTAATTAAAATGATAACATTAAATAAATATTATTAAAATTTAAATTCGGTTAATTAAATTAAAAATTTAATTGTTAATTTAATGTTTAATTGTTTTATACATTTACGTATAAATAACACATTTAAATAACTTTATTAAAACAATAATATAAACGTTATAATTAATATCATTTTATAACTTTAATTAATATAAAACCAATAATTTAAATTACATTTAAATCGTTTTTTTTAACTATTATATTATAATAAAATCAAATAACGTTTATTTAAAAAAACAAACACGTGATACTTTTTAAAAACACTTTAATAAAATTATTTTAAACAAATTTTAAATATTTTAATAATAATATAATATTAAATATACATTGTATAAACATGTAATTTAATCCATTATTTTCGCATTAATTAAAGTTATAAAATCATTTTAATTATAACGTTTAAATTATTGTTTTTATAAAATTATTTAAATGTATTATGTATTATATGTAAAACAATTAAAAATTAAATTAACAATGGAATTTTTTAATTTAATTAATTAATGTTAAAAATTACAATTTACTAAAATTTTTAACAATATAAATAAAGCGTTAAACATTAAAACATTAATATTTTTTAATATAATTAATAAGTATTTTTTTATATAAATTATTATTAAAAAATATATAACTTAAAAATAATTTTATTTTAATAAAATTTTTAATTTTTTAATTATTTACTTTTAAAATTACGACATTTTAAAGCTTTATTATATATAATTAAAAATAATGTTTTAAAAAAATTTTTAAAAATAACTTTTTAAATAATTATAATAACTTTTTTTAATTTTTATACCGTTAATAATTTTAAATTATAATAAATATTTAACTAATTTTTTATTTAAATTTACACGTTTTTAATAAAATTTAAATTAAAATTATATAAAAACCATTTTATTGTAAAAATTTCGAAATTATTAAAATAATTTAAAATTTTTTTTATTATATAAAAAAAAACATTATTATATTAAAATATAATACGTATAAAAAAATTATTTAAAAATTATTTAACAAATAATAATATATAATTATAATATTTTTTGGCTGTAATATCACTTTTACTTTTAAATTATATAAAATAAAACTTTTTTATTTTACTTTAAAAATATTTTTAAAATATTTACCCGTAATAACTTTACATATATAATAATTTAAAAGTAGTTATATTTTTATAATTATATATTATAATATATTATTAAAAATAAAGTTAATTTATATAAAATATTTTATTATTATATATAAAACCTTTTTTTAATTAAATTTTAAACATTAATTAAACTTTTAATTATTTATTATAAAATTTAACTTTATATTTAAAATCGTCGTTAAATAATAATAACTTTTTACAATTATAAATTTTACGTTTAAATTTTAATTTTTTTATTATATAATTAATAATATTAATATTATAAAAAATTATTTTAAAAATTAACAATTAAAAATTATTTTAAAATATATAATAATTAATTTTATTAATTTATAAAAAACTTTAAAAAATTTATTTTTTATATAATTTTATTTATATAAAAAATTTATAAAACTTTTTTTAAATGTAAAAAAACCATAAAAAACGTTTTATATTTATTAATAATTAAATTTAATATATTTAATAAAGTTTTTATACATTATATTAAAAAAATTTTAACATATTTATTACAACTGTAATATGCGTTATGATATTATTTAGCAGTTTACCAAATAATATTATAATTTAATACTTAAATTAAAACCTTTATTTTTTTATATATATAAATAAAGTTTTATTATAATAATTTAATGTTTTAAGTTTTTTAAAATATTATTTTTTAATAATAATATCTTTTAGTTTTAACTTTATAATAATATAATGTTTTTTTTTTAAATATAAAGCTTATTTATTCTTTTATTTAATAAATAAAATAGTTTTAATAATAAATTAAAGATTTAAAAAAATCAAATATATAATTAAAAAATTTTAAAAAACTAAAACAATTATATATAATTTTAATTAATTCTTAAATTTATTTTAATTTAAAAAATTATTTAAAAACTAATTTTTCCCGATAAAATTTTAATATTATATTTTATAATTTATATTTATAATAATAAATTATTAAATTTTTTATTATAATTAAAAAATATTGTAATTTTAAACCTTAAAAAATTTTAAACGTTAAGATTATAAATTTTTAATAAATTTTATTATCTTTTAACCTTTACTTATAAATTATAACAAATTAAAATAATAATAATAATTATATAAACAATTTTTTTATAATTTATAACATATTAAATTAAGTTAATATAAATAATATAACCACTTTAAAAAAATTTTTTATAAAAGTTAAAAATGTAGGTATTGATTTAAAAAACGTAAATAAAATTTTTAATTAATTAAAAAGTAAATTGCGTAATTTTTAAGCATAAATTTAATAAAAAACAAATTAATTAATAAAAATTTTTTTTTAAATATAATAAAAAAAAATAAAAATAATATAATTAAATTAAAATAATAATAGCTTTTATGTTAATTTTTACAAAATATTTATTTTTATTTTTATAATTAATAACTTAAAATAACTATACGTTATAAATTTATTTATATTTTTTAAAAATAAAAACGGTAAAGTAAAATAATAAAAATTTAAAACTTAAAGTTAAACTTTAACCATTAAATTATATATAAATTATAATTTCTATACCAATAAAATTAATAAAATTTTATACATAATTATTTATCTATTAAATAATATAGCTATAATTACCAAATTTATTTTTAAAACTATTAAAAAAAAAAAATTTAACTACATTAATTAACTTTAAAAAATCTTTAAAAAATTAATAAAAAATTTAATTACTATATATAATTTTATTAATATTTATGCAACCAATAAAATAACATTTTAATAATTATTTATAAAAAATTTTACTTTTTTTAAATTTTTTTTTAAATTCACAATATTAATTTTTAATTTAAAATATAATAACTCCGTAAAAATATTAACCTTTTAACTTTAAATTAATAATAAATTAATTAAATTAATTTAAATTTAAACTACTTTATTTAAACCTAATAAATTTAATAAATAAATAAACCTATTTTTAATATTATAAAAAAACGTAATAATTTATAAAATATGCAAAAAATTACAAAACAATTTCTTTTTATTTAAATAATATAACAATAGTTAAAAATTATATAACTAAAATTAAAACCAAAACTAGAATAATAAACTTATAAATTTAAATTTTATATAAATAAAACTTTTTAAAATAAAAAAATAAAAATAAATAAAAATTAATAATTATCTTTATTATAATAACTTAAACTACTATACCTAAAATTACTTAAAAAAAAGAAAGAATAAAAGCTTAAACTATTAAAATCTAAGAAATAATTAAAAAAAATAAAGAAATAATTTAAGATAAAAATAAAAAATAAAATAAAAATATAATTAAGAAATAAAAAAAGGTTATTTTAATAAATAATATAATAATATATACCTTTTCCAATAATAATAATACCTTTAATAATAACAATACCTTTTTCCTTTTTAACATTATTTAAACCAAATCTTTTATTAGTTTTAAAAATTATTTCTTTACTAATTATTTCTATTTTAAAATTATTACGTTAATTAATATTAAAAACCTTAAACTAGCACTTTTACCTTTTTTTTTTCAAATATTAATACCTTTACCAAAATAAAATAAATTAAAAAATAAAGAAATATTTAATTTTTTAATAAAATTATATAAAAAAATTTTAAAAATTATTATTAATAAAATTAAATAAACTTTTAATTTTTAATATTTTAAAAATAAATAATTATAAATTATTATTATTATTAAATATTTAAATAATAATAAATAATTAAATTTATAAATATATTATTTTAATAAATTTTAATTATTTAAAAAAAGATTTTATTAACGCGTAAAAGATATATATAAAAAAATAAAAAATAGTAAACTTTTTAAAATTAAAAATATTATTATTAAAAAATAGCCAATTTATAATTGTAAATATAATTATTTAAACTATTTTTATTACCATTTATATAAATAATTATATAAAACTTATATTTTTTTATTTAATCCAATTAAATATTAATATAATATTAAATATATTATAATTATATAAATATAATTTAAAAATTAATTAAGTTATAAATATTATTTTATTTAACTTTTTATTTTATATAAACTAATATTTATTATTAAGATTTTTATTATAAGTATAAAATATTTTAACCTATTACTATATTAAAATAATTTTTAACCTTATTTTATAAATTTAAATAACTATTAAACTAACTATTATA